GAGAATCACCTCCATCACCTCACGCACCAACACGGCGAAGAGCCTGCCGAAAGACGAACACTTCCGAAAAGAACTTCTCCCGCGTCTCTGCGGCGTTGGTGAGGTTCGACAGTGCCTCACGCACGCCCGCCTGCTTCTGCTCCGGGTACGCCGCCACCAGCTGCTCCACGAAGGCGTACCAAAACGGGGGGTGCGCTTCAAATATCGGATACGCCACTCCACTGCTCGCGCTCACGGCGCGATCCTGAAACACAATGATGTTCATCGCTGTCGCAATGAGGAGCTGCCATAAATCCTCGTGTGGTGCAAGCAGCCCTGCGAGCTGCTCACGCACCTCACGTGTAAACCGCGGCGGTCGGCTGTTTGTAACAGGCCGTCCGCCGTGCAGCGGCAGCGCCAGATGCGTCACGTAAAAGCCCTGTGTCGACGGGGTCGGCGGCGGGGTGCCGCTGCTGCACGACATGTCCGCCTGCTGCAAGGGCGTGAACACAATTGCCTTCACCTCGCGGACGAGCCCCGCCACGAACGCGAGGAAACTTAGCCCATGCAGCAGCGTCCCAGACGGTGTGTCTACGTCCTCGCAGATCATCACAACAATGCCTACAAGTGAGAGCAACTCATCGCCAGTGAGGTGCCGCAGTGGGAAGTACAGATTCTCTTCTGTGAGGGAGCGCAGCAGGTCGAGGGCGGAGGCAGCGAACTTCGCGTGCTCCTTAAACGCATTCGGTCCCACCCGCGAGAGATTGCGTATAAGCTCCACAATGGTACTTTCGAACATGTCGTCATTGTAGTACAGCATCGCCCCGAATGGGACAAACGAGCCCTGTACACATCGCTTTAAGATATTCATGGAAAGCATCCACGGCTTCAACGTCTTGTCATAGTCCAGCGAAGACCCATTGTGTGCTGCAATGCGTTCCGCAGAGAAACTCTTCTCCCCAACCTTCGCAATGAGACCACAAATGTGTTTGAATAGCATCAGGCCAACAGCACTGTTGCTATTCGAAGGCACATGCAGCCGCCCGCACCGCCCAGGCGTCACGAGCTCGCAGAGGAAACGCATCAGAGCGTTCACTACCACCGGTGAATCCGAAGCCACATCCAACACCATCAGAAACATACGGAAACGCGCACAGAACCAATCAACAAAGTCACCAAAAACAGGCTCGTCTTCATTCAGCGCCTGGCACGCACCGCGGAGATCTCGGAGCCAACCAGCGACAAAGCTTGGGTTCGTCACCTCACTATTTACAGTCTGCTGCATGTTTATCTCAACGTTATGGAGGTATGACTCCATCATCTCACGCGTGCATGGCGATGTCTTGCGTAGGAACCACAGTGCCCTCATCACGTTGGTGCGAAGCTTGTAGGTTTGTTCCGACCGTGCAAGCGGGAGCTCCGCGGTGGGTGGGAGATCGAAGGACAAATCACGCAGCAGCGATGGCGGTGCGTCGTGGCACGCGTCGCTGATCAAGTCCGCTGACGCTCGAATGATCTCCGCCGCATCCGCATCATCGGCGCCGCGCAACAAATTGTGCCCAACATTGTCAAGCGCGAATTGAAACAGCCGCACTCGGTTCTGAAAAACGTTGACGATGACCGCAGAGAGGTTGCTGTGACGCGTGCCGCCCAGCATCAGCTGTACACCGGTGAGGAAGTGGAGCACACCGCGCTCGACAAAGCTGCCGAACATGGCAGGGTCGCCGTCGCGGCGCAGCCGGTGTGTGGCGCAGCCGGTGACGTACGCAAAGACATGTGACGATGGTTCCACGCCGTTGTCTTCCATATTGAACAGCACGAGCCGCACAATGCTGCCGGCGAGGTAAAAGAGCCACCCCGTCGCGAGCGGGGAGGAGAGGATCGACATGCCGACGCTCTGGTTGAGGTACGTCGCGAGGTTGTTAAGGCACGTGGGGGGGTCCAGCAGGCACACCGTGGCGTACGCGTCCGACTGCGAGAGCACTGCCTCCATGAGGTTGGCACCACCCTCATCATCGCCAAGCGACAGCGTGCACGGACTGCCCGCCTCGGAGCCGCGGACGCGGGCCTCGAGAAAGGACTGCAGCAGCTGCGCTGCCACGTCCTCAATGTCGCGTGGGGTCTGGTCCACGAATGAGCGCCGCTTTGACGTCGTCAGGGCAGACCAGAAAGACATCACGGTGGTGGACGTCCCAAAGCAACCCTCCTGTCCGAACGGAACAGACAGCACCCCTGTGGATAGCATCTGAAGTGCACTGACCCACCGCTCGAAGGAGGCCAATGCCCGCAACTCTCGATAGCCAAACGATAGGAGAATCCGCCGACACGCCTCGATTAGGAGTTCAATATATCGCGGGATCTTCAGGCGACCATCCTGCAGCATCGCCACATCCGTCAGCACATCCAGTGTGTACTGCAAGTACTGTACACGCTCCTCTGCTGAATCGAAGAAGGTGCGGTGAACGCCGCAGATACCGGTGAGGCCTGCGAGGAGATCCGCACAGTGTGGGTACGGCAGCGCCGCATGTTGCCCCCAAAGCGTGTGTAAGTTCTGCTCATTCAGCAAAGTGGACTTCCAGGTGGAAGGGAATTGAACAAAGGGCAACTCCTCCGTCTCATCTACCATAATCGCTCGGAAGTCGAAGCATAGACAGTTCTCCACAAGCTTCACAACCTCCGCAACGTGCGGGGAGTTCGCTGTTGTCACCTCTAGGTGTTTCAATGCCGCCATGAATACATTAAGAAGTGACTTTTCTTTGAAGTTGCTGCTGCAGTGACGATGTGCTACAAACGTGAGGTAAGTCTGGGACTTGCTGGAGTCATACTTGGAGAACTCCACAACCATTGTGTTGAGCAGCATCAGGCTGAGCAAACGCAGAGAGGAGCCCTCAGGCTGCTGCAGCAGCAGCTCGAGCGGAAAGTCCACGGCGTTTTCTAAAAAAGGCTCGGTCTCAAAAGCAAGCTTCGTTAGCTTCGCATATGCCGTAAGAAGACTCATCAAGACATGCTTTGGCGCGCCATTGTCGTAGACACGCTTGAGGCATCCACCACAATGAACCACTATCAGATCGCGCTTCTGCTCATCACTCAGCCACTTCCGAGTAGATTTAAACCACAACACGATACTCTGTGCAATAAACAGGAGGGTGTACTGGTTGCTTGACTTCTGAAGAATCGCGTAGAACAAGGCGCTATCGGTGTCTCCCTTGCTGATCACATCCAGTGATGCCTGTGCCTGTTGTCGGACCAGTGGATCCGGGCTGGCGTACATCTGCTCCGCGAGCCGGTCAACCTCGTCGACGCCACTACTATCCATCGTTGCAGCTTGTCACGCAATACCAGGCCAAGTCGTTTCCGTGCGCTGCTCTAGAGCAAACGTATGCGAGTATGTAATGTAATGTATGGCTGTGTGGTCCCTTTGTCTGTGATTATTTGACTGTGTGGTTCCGAGTCCTTTTTGTTTTGGTTTTCGCTTTCTCTGGTGCGTGCGGACGTCCGTGTATATGTCGATTGTGATTATTCCTTCTTGTTTTTTTTCTTGTAGACGTTTGTCTATTCTTGTCAAAAACGGGATTTCGTGTTTAAAATTTTTTTTCTTTGTGTGTGTGTGTTATCGTGGTTGGTGTCCTAGCAATCGCTATTTTAGGTTTCCCTTTCGGTTTCTGGCGAATCCTAACCTGCGCGGCGGGTGCATTACGCAGCAGCAGCAGCAGCAACAGCAACAGCAACAGCAACAGCAACAGCAACAGCAACAGCAACAACAACGGGAGTGCAAAAGATGCATCGGCCACACAAGACGCAAAGGGGACAGATACACCAACAGCATCACCACGAGCCCATCAACAGACAAAGCTAGATGCAAAAAGGGGGAGGGAGGGAAACCACCAGACACATGCCCCACTCACACAATGCTGCTGCGTGCGGTGGCGGTGAAGGGCTCAATACTGCTACGTATCTGCTCTCGGAACGCACGAGAATACGCCAGCGACGGCTCCTCCGCCATTGTCTCTGGCGTTGGTGCAGCTCTGAGATTCTCCGTGTACGCTGACGGCAGCAACGACTGCGTGTCGTGCTGCGCGCCGGCGTGCCACTGCTGCAGCATTTGCGCATGCATGCGCGGGGTGCGGAAGGGGTTGCAGAGCGCCGCCGAGGCCACCTCGTAGGTGGAGCGGCACAGCGGCAGCACTGCATCGAGTGGGGCATCGCCTACGATGGCCAAAATGGTGCGGATGCCGGAGGCGGACTGAAAGCCGTACGAAGTGAACATGTGGCAGCGCATCAGTTTGCCGAGGAAGCGGACGTCCGCACCGGCGGAGACGCGCACCAGCGTCTTTGCAACGCCGGGGCCCCCCTGCTGCTGCTGTGAGCCACCCTGTTGCTGCCGCTTTCGCACAATGTCGTCGCAGCGGTCCAGCGAGGAGAAGAGCAGGAAGTGGAGCCTCACCACGTCGTCCTCGCCAACGCGGAGGTTCGCGCACGTCGCGGCCTCCGCGTTGTCGAGCACCTCGCGCGGCGACGTGAAAGTGCGCATGATGAGTGGGGCGCCGCCGCGGCCGAAGAGCGCCAGCGCCGCCACAGCCCACTTGGGGCAGTCCAACTCCGCCATTCTGCCACGCCGCTCTCTACCTTGCAGCACCACAGCACACAAACGCACAGAGAGTCAGGCGGGGAATGGAGAAAAAAAAAAACTGCGGAGACAGAAATCTGAGTTCGATGGGGGAATTCCACGAACGTTATAAACGGACACACCCCGTCAGTTCCCGCACCCCGCTATCAAATTATCAGTCACGAGAAGAGAAACAATAGTAGTAGTGGTAGTAGTAGTAGTAGTAGTAGCAGCAGCAACAAACAGACACAGGCACAATCATCACTGAGGCGCTGCAGAACGCGTCCTCCAACAAACCCCGTGCCCAAAGCTGTGGAGCCGCCACCACAGGCCAGGTGCTGCTCTGAAGACATCCCCGCAGGAGGTACACGTTGTTGCATATCACCCAACGTCCAAGATGGCATATACACAAAAAGAGAGAGAAAGAGAATTCTCTCATCAAACTTAGCGAATCCGACGCGTAGGAATGCGCTTACAAAGCTCAGCTCGTCAATATCATCATTCTCTCTCAACCACGCGAGAGATTCTCAGAGAGTTGTGGCAACAGCAATGCGGTCTGCATCGGCAAGAGAGAAAGATGGTGTGAGAGCCTAGCAGTAGGGCGAGATGGTGGCTGGCACGACGGCAGCTCCCCGCGTGTGCACAACGGATGAAAAAAGTACAACGGCAAGTCACATGAAACGGAAGGAGAGCAGCAGAGAGAAGCAAAAAAAAAAAACCAAAAGGGGCACGAGACTCTTTAACAAATTCAGAGTCAACGCGTGCATGAGCCTGCTGCAGCAACAGGGCGGCTGTCGAGATGCCGCAGGTGCAGAAGGCTGCCGGCACTCACATTGCTGCAGACACAAAATACAGAGAAGTGACGAAGAGCCAGCATACCACAATACTCCACAGCACAACTGGGGAAACGCATCACTTGGTCTGCAACAGAGACTGTGGCTATTTGTTCAGCGCAGTAGCAGCACGAGATGCTCTGGGTAAAGCACCATCCAGCCTCGTCAGCTGCGCCGCCACGCACCTTCTCTTTCCACGCAAGTCAATGAAAGGATAGCCGACATCACACAGAGGAAGGGAGAAGGATGTAAGGGTGCGGTGCGTGGGAAAGGAACCGATAAAACAAAACTACAGTCATTCCGTTCCTTTGGGACAACCAGATGTTTGTGGTGCCTCCAACCAAAATCAACGTTGCATCATCGGGTGGATGAAACGGTGTAGAGTGAACAAGGCAGATGCGAACGCCACCAGTCGCGCATTCAGTCCACAGAAGCAGCAGTCAAGGCTGTGGTGTTGATATCGCGCCCACAACAGTTCTGGGAAGAACAGCATGATCAAAGTGTGATGAGAGAAGGCATAAGGGAAAAAAATAGGTACTTCTTAGGGTGTCTTGCCACAGAAAGAGGGCAATCTCGCGGACCTTTGACACCCAGCACAACCGACACAATGGACTCGTCGACGGGGTAACACGGTACCGCTGCGGTGCGCAAGGCCACATCAATCTCAGCTAAGAACACCACACAATAACAGCAGCAGGAGGAAGAGGAAGAGGGAGGGAGATAGTGGTTTTGTAAATAGAGCATACTATACTCTGTCACGTGTGAAGACCTTTTCTCTCGTGATTATCTCCTTTTTTTTCTTACCCACCGCGACACACATATACTCAATTCTGTTTTTTTTTGTATTTTTATCAGTAACTCATGCGTGCGCATCCATCCTACTGTGTGGGCCTTAAACCACGTGTGAGAGTTGGGAATCCCTTCGGCTGTACCTTGGCGTTGTTGATCTCCAGCACGTCACCCATCTTCTGGTACTCAAAGCGGCGGCTCTTCTTCCCGTAGGTGTCACGCAGCTGTTCGAGCATCTTCTTCGCCGCCTCCTCGCGATGCCAACGGTTAGTCAGCGTGAAGGTGTGTGCGATACTGTCAAGATCGCCTGTCGGCACCTGATCCACGTACGGGTCAGCGTAGAATCCCTCCCACTTCATCTGATCCTCCGCCTCGGCTTCAGAGTTAAACGTCACAGCGTGTGCCAGTGGACGTTCCACTGAGAGCGTGTCCACACGGTGGCTGCTGGATGCAAGGTACTCCTCCATGTGCGGGTTCGTCCGCTTGTACATGTCGCGAAGATGGCCACGTGATGCGTCATTGTCGTCTTCCTTCACCTCCTTTTCATCTTCAACCATTAACTCCTGGTCGTGTTGCTTCTGCCACTGACGCTCAGCCTCCTGTCGCTGCATGGCGCTCGCCTCCAGCAGCTCCTCACGCTTTCGGCTTTTGGCCTCGTGCTGGACCTCTTCAACGTAGCGAACAAAGGCGTCACCATTGAAGTTGTATGGGAGCGCTATCATCCCCTTGGCCCAGTCGACATCCACCTCAGGGGCAAGAACAAATGTCATATCCTTCCAGTCCCACGGCGCCAGCGAAGAGCCTATGCGGAAGAGCTCCTTTGCCCACTCCAGGCGCTGAGCGTAAGTGCAGTCGTTGTTAAAGGCGTCGATGCCACCGGGCTCCGCCATGGCTCGGAACTCCTTCAGGTGCCACATCGTCGCCTCCAGCATTTGCTTCGAGATTTGGTAAAGACGCTTCTGAAGAGACAGCTTCGGTTGTATCTTCTTGAGCCAGGGGCGCAACTCATCAGCAGTGAGCTCGCAGCTAATGATCACAACACCATTGGCTCGCATCGCGTGCCGCATCCCCACCTCTATCGTAAGATTCGTGAGCCCGTACCCACGAAGAAGCTCCATGTTGCGGTGGAGTAAATTTAGCACCACCACCGCATCTTTGTGGCTGCAAGATATCATCACATCATCCAGCTCAAGCTCTGTGGATAGTTCGGAAATAAGCTGTTCCATGGCTGTAGCGAATCGCGTGGCAGCCTCGCGACAGCTCGAGATTGCTTTATCATTCTGCGCGAGGAAACTAAGGAGCTGGTCAGGGGTGAAGTCCCACGGAATCGTTAGCGTTCCGCTAACCTCGCCGATATTGAACTCGTTCGATACAATGAGTGGCATTGACTCCCACACGGGGTACCGCAGCTCACCGAGGTGCTGGCGAAGTGTGTGCAACGCAGCGGCAGACTGCAGCGGAGACAGCGCCCGTGAAAAGAGCACCTGATCTGCCTCCATCAGTTCCTCCAGTGTCGGGGCGGGGGTGATGCTCCACTGCAGCGACATGCTCTCTGTCGCCTCGTCAAGGAGCGACTTCGGCTTCTCCTCGCGGCGGCGGTGCGGCCCAGCGCGGCGTCGCAGTGGCTTCACCTCGGCGCGCTCCGCTGTTGCGTCCTCCGCGGCGGAAAGGGAATCCGTCACGGCGTCAATGCAAGACGCACGGCGCAGCAAATCACGTAAAAATTTGTTCACCGCCCGTTCCGCCGCCCCACGATGAGCGTCGCTCGGCGCGAAGTTCTCCGGCAACTCGAAGGTGGACTCAATCACCGAAGATGACGGTGGCTCCTGCAGCCCACGACGCGCAAAGGAAGAGGCCGTCTTAGTGGTAGTGTTAGTGTTACTGTTCTGTGAATTGTCTCTTGACCCATTATCCCCACTTTCATCGTCCGGCTTCTTGTAGAACGTCAGCGTGAAGGACGTTGCCGGTGGTGGGCGCAGCACACCAGTCTTGAAGGCCTTCGCCCAGCTCAACAGCTCGTTGAGGCGGGCCACGGAGTTCTCGTTTACCACCTGTTGGGTCCGGTTGTGGTGGAAGAAGTCCGGGTGCACCTTCAAGAAGAAGGAGTGAAGGGCCTTCTTGTACATTTCCTGCTGCAGACATATGTGTTCATATGTGTGCGTGTTACACGAAAGAAGAAGAAGAGTGATGAAGCGGATAGGTAGCAAAAAGCCCAAAACGAAGGATTCTGTTGTGCAGGAGTTACGCAGCAGGGAAGCACCGCATCGCGTTGTCGGTTGCGCGGCGTGGGATTGCGCCCCAGACAAAGGGTTGGAGAAGAGTGGGAATAAACAAAGGAGAAGGACAAAAATGGTACAGTGATCTTCTCTCGTTCCGCCTCGCACAACTTAGAAAAGAAGGAGGAGGGGGCAAAAAAAAAAAAAAAAAAGAAACTCTCGCCGGCCGTAGATGCCACGCAAACCGACTAGAACTCAAGCTTTCCATACTGCCACAGATCACCATTGTATGTGAATGTATGTATGTATGTGTGTATGTCTGTGCAATACCTCATTCTCTTCTCTATGTGGCCGGCATCGCGGGAAGGGGACGCGCTACCGTCTGCCGGTTCTGCTGCGTTATGGTCCGCCGAATCATACTCACGGCCCGCTCCTCGGCTGCACGAATCGCGGTGACCGTGCTGCGTGCCTTGGACGCACTACTCAGTCTCAGCTGGATCGACACCGCGCGGTGCAGCAACTCCGACGCGCTCGGCACCGTCGTGGCCGAGTCAACGCTGGCCGCCGGCGATGACGAGCTGCTGGCGATGCTGTTATTGTTGACAGGGCTCACCTGTGATGTGCGACTGCTGCGCGACAAGCGGTTGGACCTGGAGCCCGACAACACCTGCTCCTGCAGCTTGTGCACCAGCTCGGTGGAGGAGACGCCCAACTCGTCCGGTGCGTACTCGCGGTGGATGCGGATGTGTACGGTGTGAGAGCGACTGCCCATCGCCTGTTCGACGTCAGTGAAGCACTGCACACCGCAAGCTATGGGGTGCACTAGCACGAGTGACTTGTGTGAGGATACGCCGAAGGTGTGGCTCTTCACAAAATAGAACACAAGAAAGACGTCCCACTCCACGGCGATCGTGACGGACTGATTGCCCCATTTGCCTTTGCAGATGCGCAGCTTGTGGCGTTGTTGCCTGTCTAGCAGAATCGCGCCGTGGACCACCGCACTGTAGGCAAGAAACTGTAGGCGACGTAGCCGCTCCGCGAAGGCGCGGTCGATCGGATCAGCGGCGCTGGGGGCATTGTTTTCCAACGCGCCCGTTGGAGTGGGGATGCCGGCGACAACCGGTGTGGAGGAGCGGGAGTGGGACGTGTTGCATGTGGTCGTCATCGCCGTCTCTTTATTGAGACGCTGCTGCTGCTGCTGCTGCTCAGGCTGCACTTCATCAGTCGTTACAGGAAACTTGGCGAGCGAAGACAGTGCCGTATTTGGTCTGCGGTCTGATGCGTCTCCTTTCTCGTCCCCCTTCCCCGGCGTTGATGTAGCTGCTGGTGTTTGTGTCGCTGCTGCTGCTGCTGCTGCTGCTGCTTCTTCCCTCTCCACCTCAGCAGATTCAGAAGTATCACCACGAACAACATCACTTTCCGCGGCATCGCCGTTGTTTACGCTGTTGTCGTTGTTGTTGGTGTCCTCATTGGTGTCATCAACAGCTTGCGCAGTGGCGGGGGCAACGGCGCTCTCCACCGACGCCATGCTCGGCACCCCCAGCTCCCGCAACATGGCGGTCTCATCATTGTGGTAGTAGTGCACCAGCGTGTTGGCGGTACGGTAGCGGCCACGAACACGTGCGCACAGCTCCTCTGAGGCATGCTGCTGCAGGTACGTCTCCACGACGCGAACGGTGTCGTACGTCGTGTCGCTGTGAAGGAGCTCCCCAAAACGCGGCAGCATCGCCTTGTCATCGTCCGCGCTCTTCTGAAGACGCTCCGAGACTACGGACCGGCGCTCGTTGGTCGACACGTGTAGCTGCATGGTGGACGAGGAACCCTCCCACGCAAATGAGACGGACCCCACCGTGGGCGCTGCTCCACCGTCGTCGGTGTTGTTGTTGAGCGACGCGTCAGACGGTGGCTGTAGAAACGACAGCACATCTTCCTCGAGTAGTCGTCGAGCATCTGCACCAACGGCGTCTGCGCGGTGCAGTATCCCCCAGCCGCGGCACAAAAATCCGCCCTCGCGGTGGGGAAAGCAAAATACAAATGTCTTCATTCGTCCAGCCGACCGCCGCAACGGTCGGCCGCTGGTTTTTTCATCCCTCTCCTTCTCGTCAGTAGTAGTAGTAGTATTAGTAGTAGCAACAACAACAGCATCAGGTTGCACATGCAGAAATGCTGCGTCCTGTGGCGATGGGACTACATCCGTGTGCTTCACCGTCCCTATGGCCGTCGGCGCGGGAGAGAGCGTTGGTGCGTTGCTGCTGTACGGCGGTCCATGCCCATCAAGACCCTGCGCTGCGTCCTCTTCGCTGGGCATCCCCTCTTTTTGCTGCTGCTGCTGCTTCCCTTCCTCTTCTTCTAGCTCTTGTGCATGCTTCGCTTCCGATTGATCTGTATCGTGTGGCCCAGACTCGAGATCAAGGAGAGTAGACACGTCTTCGGCTTCAGGGGACACTACGCGAGGTGCCGCGGCAGAAGCATCACTCTTGGGTGTTGTAGCCACTGATCCCAATGTGGCCTCTGGTGATGCTGCAGCTTTAGATGCCCTCTCCATCCCTTCATCCCCAGCACGGTGCTTGTTGGTCTCCTCTTCAATGGCGGTCTCAATGAGAGTGCCTAACTCTTCAACCAACTCATCCTCCTTGTTGTGCTGTGCGTGCACCAATGTCTCTGCTGTTATCCCGTCGTAGTGTGCGGGCAGCAGGCCGTACGCCGCATCGAGGAGAGCTTGCACAGCTGCCACTGTGTCGTCGCCGGCCCGTTCCAACGCCTGTGAGAAGAGTGGAAAGGCATCACGTCCATCGTTGGTGTTTGCGTGTTGCCGCAGTCGCTCAGCCAGCGCCGAGCGGCGCTCATTCGTGGTGATCTGAAGCGTTGTGGCGCCTCCACCAGCGTCGTGGATGCAGTTCTCATAATCTTGCGACGATGGTGATGAGGCTGTTGGAATGAGCAGCGACACAGAACTCACCACCGTTCGCCCGCGCTGCGCTTCCGGTGGCTGTAAAAGAGCCCAAACCTCGCGCTCCAGGCACGCGCGCGCGTCTGCGCCGGTGGGATCGTCACGGTGCAGCAGCCGCCAGCCGCGGCAGAGCACGTGTCCCTCAGGGTGGTAGTACAACATGACAAAGCTGCGCACTCGGCGTCTCTTGGACTCCTCGAGTGGAGGCGGCTCTGTCTGACTGCGCTCGTCGCGGTCCACCGGCAACTGCAAGTCAACTGCCGTACCGTCATCATTGCCATCCCTCCCGTTTACCGGAGGCTGCTGTTGTTGTGACTGTGACTCTGGGGAGGAATGCCTTAACTCTTCTTTTGTTCCACTACCCGAGTGGGTTGCCCCAGCAACAACAACAGCAGCAGTCCCACTCTTCGTATGGGTGGCTTCGTTGTCTTGTTGCACCCCTGGCTGCTCTGCCTCTTCTAGGTATCCGCTCAACGGTTGTCGTCGCAGTCGACGGCGCCCTGTACCGTTCTTTTTCTTCTTCTGCTTGATGCTGGCTACATCTTGCTGAACCTCGCCTGCCACCTCCGCTGCAAGCACCATCGAGTCACTGTCATCCGACAGCAGCGGTGACATCTCGCTTGGCGTCTCTCCATCCATCGCAGCATTTGCCTCATGTGGGACCGCCATCTGTGCCAACGTTACAGCGTCACCCCCATTACCGCAAGAGTTCTGCCGCGTCGTTGTGTTCTCGTGATTCTGCTCGCCGTCCCTGTCATGGTCCTTTCTACTGTCAATTGAAGCAAAAAGACAACCAAAGTCAAACGCCAATGATGGAGACTTCATATCTCCGATCGAAGGAGCCGAAGTGCCCCGCCCCAGCTGCTGCTCCTCCCCCTGCTGTTGTTGCGGAGATGACCCAGCGTCGCAGCCTTCCCTTCGACTTCTTGCGCGTATGCTGGCGACAGTCATCGCCCACTTGCCGTCCCACGCCGCGGCGCTGACAGCCGGCTCGCTCTTGGCGTTTATGTCAACGGGTCGCCCGAGTGTGGGCGTAAAATTTGTCTCCATCGCGGGCGACAGAAGTGGTGCGCTGCTACGCGGTACTCCCCACACCTGGTTTGCTTGTTCTTGCTCTTGTTTTTGGTTGCGGTGTGTGTCTCGGTCAGACGAGTACGTCGGGTCGACCGCTCGTTGCAGAAATGACGGGGTTGCCTGCATTGAGGAGAGAAATCGCGCCGGCGTCTCCCGCGCGTGAATGGGACTGATGGCTACGGGTGGCTGCACGCCTCGCACAGGGGCTGCGAATGGCGATTGGAACGATGCACTCGCCGGGACCTCCACGAATGACTGGGCCACGTCACTCTGCACAAAGGGCGCCGCAGAACCGCCTGCCATGACGTGAAATGTCGGGAAGCACTCCTCCTCATCCCTCTCATCATCCTTCATCTTCTCTTCACCCCACCCTGGGATGTGCGTCCGCTGCGGCTGCGGCTGCTCGGGTGGCAGTGTGGACGCCGCCACCCCGTCACTGGCGAGGCTGAACGTGGCCGCTCCCGCAGCACCGAAGTGGACGCTCAGTGGCAGTGACGGCTGCACCCCGTTGTTGTGGCTGCACACGTGGTGCTCGTCACGTCGTCGCTGCACCGCCGCCTCCACCGCCTGTCGCAGCGCTGCGATGGCTTCGTGGTCCTCGCGGTGGATGCCGGCGTTACCCTGGAGCGCCAGCGCGGACATCACGGAGGGCGGTGACGGCCAGTCTAGGACAAAGGTATGCAAGAGCTGCACGCAGCCTTGAATCGTCAGCAGGTTGTCGGCCACATTCAGCACGACGAGGCGTGACAGCACGCCTGCCGCCGAGCCGCGCACCGCAATCGCGAGGCCCCGAACCGCCCGATCGGTGATGCCCGTGCCATTCAGGTGTAGCTCCTGCAGCCCCGTGAAAGCTGGAGGCATAGCGTTCTGGCGGCGCTGCGCGTTGAACGCGGCGTGTGTTACTAATTCGCAGAGAATGTTACCCACACATGCCTGCCGGCCAACCACGACGGACTGAAGCGCGAACTCTGCCTCGCCGTGCAGCTCCCGCTCCAGGCGCCAGCGCGCACGTGGATCACGCGGTGGCTGTCGCTCCTCCAGCAGGACGTCCAGCAGCAGCGAGGGTGGCACCTGCTGGCGGTCGAAACTCTCCGACACGTCTAGCACCAGCAACTGCGGGCAGCAGAAGAAGAGATTAAGAAAGAGTTCACGGCAGCCAATGGGAGTGCACAACTTGGAGAGTGGCACACCACAAAGGTTGACTGTCGACAACGTGCATGGATAGTGAAGTTCCTCGAAGCTGGAAAACCTGCTCGCGGTGGGGGAAGCACTTGGCTCTGCGGAGGACTCCTCTCGGCTGTCGTTCGCCAGCGAAGGAGGAGACCCATCATCGGCACATGACGGTTTGGGTGATATCAGCGACGGTGGAATAGCACCGTTACGCGCCAGCAGAACAGTTTCTAAACAGTACGCACGACTTGCACCGGCAAGCAGTGCTGATATCCCACGTGCGGATGACTGGCAATCTCGCACGTCCAAGAAGGAAATTCCCAAGTGAATCTGTGCATCCCCAATCTCGCTGCTCGACCCCTTCTCAGGACTGCTGCGCCCTATAGTCTTCGATATACCGAGAGATGATCCTGTCAGTATGGTGTGCTGCAGGCGGGCCTCACGACTGGCCCGTCTCTTCCTCTCCAAAAAATCTAGGTACTGCTGCACAAGTATCGGTGGGAACAAATGCGGCTCCTTGTTCAACAACGTTAGCTGCAGTTTGGCGAGGTATATCCCCAGCACCTGAAACCCGTAGTCCTGGAGAGGGTTCCCCAGCAGGTGCACCTCGTCCAGTGTGTCAGAAGCCCACAACAGCAGCTTCCCAAGCGGTGTGGCACTGCGGTACGTCAGGTGGTTCCCACTGAGGTCCAGAACCCTCAGCTGACGCAGGGCCCTTCGTTCCCTCGCTACCGTTGTTGCTGCTGCTGCTGCAGCAAAGTCGGCGACAAGACTACTTGATCGCGGCGCTGCAGACGCCAGAGTGGACGAAGTGGCGCGTGGTGCAGCTGGCGCTGTGGATCTTCGCGCTGTCGCCTCCTCGCCACGACGTGTGTGGCTCTTGCAACACTCACGGAGAAGCTCCGCCAGGCGCGCATCCGTGACGCCCATCCGTGTCAGTCTAAGGGAGCTCAAGCTCGCCATCGCCGGAAGCACCTCTTGGCAAAACCAGCTCCACTGCGCACTACTCATTTCCATCCCGCTGAGGTCGAGGCGGTGCACATGCGTAGCTGATGTCCGCCGCTTCACATGCACTCGCAGGCCCTCCCAGTCTGTCACCGGCATTGCCGCAAGCGATGCCGCACGCGCAGCCGCCTCTGCTGAAAGGGGTGAGATTGAAAATACTGAGCGATGTGGGAGCGCCGTACCACAACCAGCGGTAGTATCAGCGGCTGCAACAGGCGGCTCTGGGGCCGGTGTGAAGAAACTGGGACGAGGCTCCTCCTCGTCATCGTCATCGCCCTCGTTCTCGCCGATGCCGCTGCTGCTGCCGTATCCTGCGCCGCGACTACGGTGGCGCTCGCAAGGCCTGTTGCGCAACCAACGGGGCATGAATACCACAAGCAATGCACAGACGCCCTATATATTCCCCTCGCCTACACGCTCACTCACACACCCACGCACGCTGTGCACGTATGTAGTTCTGTCGGTCTTACCAGAGATGGATGAGGATAAGCGGCAACAGCAAGTTGCGGCCCCTCCTCTTCGTCCTACCTCCTTCACCCAGTCGAAACGTGTGGGAGGGAGTGTGCCTCCCTCTCGATGTCACTACACTGTATCCCTTAGAGGAACAGAGAGAGAGAGAGAGAACGCAACGAAAGGCAATAAAGAAAAGGAAAATGCGGCTAGACGCGGGCACAGGCGCGGACGTGCGGGTCATGTACGCTGCACGGTCAAGAACACACACACACAGAGACCCAACAAAAAAAAAACTGAAGACAATCCAACTTGTTGCAGCAGTTAAGAGAGACTCACCATTCTGTATTCCGAGTGTTTTTTTTTCTCTCGTACTTTCACCCCAGGCGTGAAATAAACCACGAATAACAGTCCTGAGGACTTGCCAATAGCAATGATAAAAAAAAAAAGAGGGGAGCAACAACGCCGCGTCACGTAGCACAGCTGACAAGCGTGGCACGAAAAGCGTAGGACACTCGTGGGAGTCAGGTGTCACACGCCTGCAGGAAAGCCACGCGGCGAAGGACTGACGATTAAGAGCACGGGCGCCAATCGCCACGCACTGTGGCGACAGCGCGCACAACGCTGCGCATCTCAGCCGGTGCCACACCAACCAGAGGTCACTGCCCACGAACGAAGATGTGCCGCCAAAGAATTCTTCTTCCATCTCTTCCGCGTGTCAGCTGCCGCCCACAGAAGAAATGCATCGCCGTGGTCAATTGCCTCGGTGCAGTCCGCAACGAGAATATCACTGGCGCGGAACGGAAAACAGTTCTTTCAACTGTAGTGATTTCTTCTTTGTTTTCCCTGCGTGCGAGGAAACAGCAGCTCCTCCTGCAGCAGGAATACCTTCTGTGCTCAGTGTGACTTCACAGGATGAAACTGGGCAGAAGGAAAGGTTATTATGTCTATGTGTTTGTGTCTGTGTGTGTGTGTGTGTGTGTGTGTGTCGTCTGAACAATTCAAGTCATGTTGGCTCTTTTTTTCTTTTCCTGCATACCGGACCAAAGAGGAAGAGGCGAAACAGCGCAGGAAAAGAAGGAGGGGTATCACGTTCCAGCAACCGTGCGAAGAGGAGCTATCGGCAGAGCCTCTCTAGCGTGTGCTACATAGCGAATACAAAGCGAGAAAGGAGAGGCTGTTGATCTCCCTGAAAGCGCCGCACTCCGCAGAGAAAGGGTGTTGTACATCCCACTGGAATCCTTCAGCACGAGAAACGCATGCGCAGCTTTGTTGGATAGGCTCGCCCCATTGTTTTATTTCCACTTTCCCTTTCTCTCTTGAGTTTGTCTCGTTACTGTTTGCCTGTTAGCGCGCCAGAAGGCCGTTTCGATCCTCATCAGGGTCACGAAGGAGGCACGGAGTGGCTTTGACGGAGAGCCGCGCGGTCAGGAGCAGTCAAACCAATTTCCCACGTATCCTCACCGCTGCCGCCTCTCTGCATCTCTCTCTCTCTCTCTCTCTCTCTCTCTCCCCTCGAACCCGCACGTTAACAATTTTGGGCTGACCCCATCTTGCCCACACACAGTCTCACAAGGATGTAGCATCGCTCATGTTTGTACCTTCTCCCCCGCCCTTCATCTTTCTTCACTTCTCTCTCTCTCTCTTTCTCGCTCGCCCGCTATCTCCCTCTGTGCATGCATGCGTGCGTGTGCAGGTGAGTGTTTGTGTCGTGTTTATTGTTTGGCTCGCTGCCGCTTCCACAAAATGTACGCCGTGGCAACAAAGCACAGAACGCTCCCCACCACTGGTGCCACCACCGCGAGTGTACTTGACGAACTCTGCAACGAGTTGTCACGCCGCCGCGGCTTCTTTTCCGTCCCAGTCCCGTTGGTGCCCAACGCACCGCGCTTCGCCTCGGAGAGGCCGCCATGTTTCGTGGCGTTCGCTGCTGCTGATTGTGGTAGTGGTGACTTTGTTGTTGTCTCGGCGTCCCCCTTCGCATCCGCTGTGTGGTGCTGAGAAGCACCCGCCTCACTTCTCTCGTCCACCCGTACGCGGCTGACTAACGGCAGCTCGTACCACAGCCGCGGGTCGTTGAACAGCACAAGCGGGGACGGCTTCTGCTCCAGCTCAAGTTGAGACGTCTGGATGAGAAACGTCGACGGCACACGGTGCAGGTCGCCAATGATGATGCGATAGTTCTCGATGGGCTGAAAGATCGCATCGAATGCGTCGAAGAGGGGGGCAAGATTCACGCGTCGACTCATTGCCTGAACAATCGACATGTTTTGCAGCGGCTCAAGCTCCTGCACGGCAAGCACCACCTCCGTGATGTCCTTCACGATGTCGTCCTCGTACATCGCCTCCGCGCGCATATTGGGGACCTCCTCGGGGCACAGGCTCAGCACCTCCTGTCGGTACTCCCTGCAGTTGACGTAACAGAACGGCACCGCATAGCGCTTCCACACCGGGCCGTAGCCAAGGCGGATATCCGTCGCCGACTTGAGCTGCTTCAGCACCTGCGCAAAGTCGTAGTGGAACTCCATCAAGTCACCAGGCGTGAGATCATGGAAGTGCCGCGGTCGATAATTCATCACCAGCGGCGCCACAACAAACTGCGCCACCGCTGTCTGCGGTTGCCCGCTCTTACCAAACCGCTGATCCACCTTGATGTGAGGAAGTGACGTCTTACACCGCTCGCGAAGTGGCGCCATAAACGGAGAGACGCTGTGGAGAAGGGCGTTCGCAAAGGCTTCAAAGGCGTTCTTTTGCGCGAACTCACGCTTCTGTTGCGCCTTTGTAGGCTTCTTCCACCGACGGTTACCTTTCGAGGTGAGCGGCGGGAGAAGTCGTCCGTGCTCGTCAAACTCAGGCTCAGCAGCTGCAACTGCAGGAGCAGAAACAGTTCCAACAGCATCGATGCTCGTCTCACCTCCGCCAGGGCTATTTTTCGTATGGGCATTGTTGACCTTTGGCTTTAGCGCCGTCGCCGCGTTGACCCACCTACCGCTCACTAGTGGACGCACCTCGTCGGCACCCGGCAGTGGAGGGTACTTATTTGCATCCACCGTTGCTGTTGCTGGTGCACTGGGAACCTTTCGAGGGGGTGTCTGTTCAATGCTGGGGTTAAAGGACTGTTTGGGGAAGCCACTCTGGCTGGTTTCCACTTTTTTTGTGAGGTCCATTTCACCGTCCATCTGTCGCTCGATCAGCTCCTTTGTGAGCGCCATAACACGCTCAAACTCCTCGGTCCAGTTCACGCCCTCCAGTACCCCGTCGACGGAAGCATCGGTAGACGCCCCTGCTTGGGTAAAGGATGGGTAATACGCCGGGGGCTCTGTGGTCATCAAGGGCTCTGCCTGCATTGGTAATGGGAACTGCTTTGTGGAGCTTGTGTCGTCGGCCACAGCAGCAGACGCCGCCGTTGTTCCTCCTTCAGCCGAGGCGCTTCCCTCCTCGGCACATGTCGATGCGGGCAGCATAAATGATGCAAGCTCATCCCTCGGCCGCCATTCCTGTGCATTCGCGTTCAACGGAGCAGACATCCCACCTAGAAGCGTTGAACTCTCGCTCCCAGGACGGCTCGTATCACGGTATAAATATATATATACCTCTGTGTAACAGTCTTGTTTCCTTTTGTCTTAATAATTTGGGGACGGCTGGTCACTCAACGCCCGTTCCGTTCCTCCACGCAGCACCTTACCCTTTTTTCTTTTGTCTTTCTGTTCTTCCAATTGCCTCTTTTGCTCAACCAGGAACTTTTGCGGTGTCCCTCAGCTTCCTCGTGGTGGCGGATGCTACTCCCACCCTGCCGATCAGTCGCAACGGGGGCAAGCGGTTAGTAAGGAAGAAGGGGACGGATGGAAGAGGTGATTGATGTGCGCGTGTCTGTTGTGTTTCCTCTTTGATGGGGGTGGGGCGGGCTCACGTGTGGCGGTGTGCGCCGCGAAGGCACGCGTGCAATGCGTCGGAAACCAAATAGAAAGGAGAGAGAGTGTGTGTATGTGTGTCAATGGCACAAAAGCCCAACGCGAGAAAAAAAAACGAGGTAAAACAGCGCTCTCAGCGTGCAGGCGGCACAACCGACGACGGCACCTGTAGCAATAGCAGAAAGGAAGATGATGTGTAAGAGCACAGCTTGCCGCACCGTCAAAGTAGCGATGCACAACGATGTAGACGGAGAAACGCATGGAAAGCAGCACGTGAACGTATTCGTTTCACCAACACGCACGCACAGACACACACACACATACACACACAAAAAAAAAAAATGCGCAGGCACAGCGAGATTCCACTGCTCTTTCTTCTCGCGCCCACTTAGTCGGGCAGAAAGAAACTCTGGAAGACGGCCGGCATGTAGTTGCCGTACTCCATCACGTGCGGCAGGTCGCGGTGCCAGCATGTTTTGAAGTGTAGCAGGAGTTGGTGGTGCAGTGTGAAGAAGCCAGCCTCAAAGTCACTTTCCTGTTCCCACGCATCGTCGGCACTCTTGTCGTCGCCGCCTTTGCAGCTGCTGCTACGCCGCTCAAGGACAGCTGCGCGCATGTCTCCCACGTGACGACCCGCTTCGTCGTCATTCTCGCCGCCACTCTTGACAGTGTCGTACAGAACCTCCAGCTGCGGCAGGTAGAACTTGTGGTCCTGCTGCAGCAACAGCTGTGCCGTGAACTGGATGGAGACGACAGCAAGGAGGTACCAGCAGTGCTCTCCCGCCGCAAGAATCTTTTTGTTGAAGGCCATCATCTCCAGGAAGTCACTGTTGTGCGTCTGGGCGAAGTGCAGCAGCTGCCGCAGCGCCAAAACACCACCGCCGCGCAGGTCAGTGGTGGGGTCCCGCCCCTGAAAACCAAGATCACCCCACTCGCTATTGTTGTGGGGCGCGAATGTCTCGGATGACTTTCCTGCTGCCGCCCACAACTCCTGTAGCATCCGTGCGTGGTCGGGGTTGGTGGCGTCAAATGGCGTGGCGCGCTCCTCCTCCAGCCGCGCCGCCTGCTCTGCGCAGTGGCGGAGTTGCTGCAACATCCGCCGCGCCCTTACGTTGCCGCTGTACTTCACCGGGGTGCCCGCGCTTGGGGCCGCTTCTGCTGGGTAGTGGTGCCGCAGGAACTTGAGGAGTGTTTCCTCAATCCGCACCCGCTTTGCATCCTTGCCGCGGAAGAAGCCAAGCAGCTCGCCCAGTGTCGCGATCTCGCCCTTGGCGATGTGGTCGATGGCTAACTTCGTCGCAAGCTCCGGCCGCTCACCAGCGTTGATGCCGCGCAGAACAGGCGGACAGCGGCGCCGGCGCGATGACGGCCCGCGCCGCCGGGACATGCAGTAAAGAAAGACAACAATGCCGCCCGCGCCGATGACGGCGGCCAGGATGCCGGTGTGGCCCTCTGGCGGAAAAATAGCTGAGGACATTCGTTTTGTTGTTGTTGCTGTTGTTGTTATCGTTGTGTTAATTGTTGTTATCGTTGTGTTTGTTGCTGTTCCCTTCGTTGTGGTGTATATATTTATATATATATATATATGTATTCGCTGGAAAAATGGAATTCCCCCTTTCTTGCCGCAGTGGCCACGGCAACTTCGTGGAGACGCACCTACAAAAAAAAAAGCGACTTTGGAGGGTGAAGTGAGGAAGAACAGGGATATCAGAGAGCATCAAACCCTCTTGTTGGTAGTGTATACGTGTGTAAGTGTATGTATGTGTGTGTGTGTGTGTTGCTGGTGATACTCTCATTGTTTTTTTTTTTTGTATTTCTTGTAGTTCACTTCATAGCCCTTGTGGGAGTATCAGTTAGCAGCTTCCCACCTCCGTTGCGCACTCCATCACTCAGCGCGAAATGACAGCACCCACGCCGGCGCCTCACTCATCCACGTCGTCTCCAGCAGAGCCGTGGAGAGAGACCCAGCAGACGCATCATGCTTTCCCCCAGCAGCAGCGTCTGTGCAAAGGCGAAAGAGCGGGAACGTCCGAAGCCCATCAAAGGGGCGCAGCAGCAACACGCAAGTCATGGTGCGCCACGGCGAAGAGTGTGGGGCGTACGGTGCTTGCCACATGCGCTCCAGTGCAGCGCAGAGCTCACGAACGGCAGGCTCCACAAATCCCAAGCCACAGCAGAACACCACCAAATGGCAAGGTGTGCTGTTGCTGTCGTGCTTGTCGCCACTCGCAGCACGCCCCAGCATGGCGTCCGCGACAGGACGGAATGTCTCGTTGGTGAGAAGCCCTGGAGCAAAGGCATCCGCCTCACCCAGCACGACACGTCCGTCGCCCGCACCATCGCTGGGTGGATTAACGACCCAACAGCAGTCCTGCTGCGGCTGCTCGACTCGGCCGCGCACAAGTGCGGCGCTGTGCGGCAGTGCGCGGCGGGCGATGCGCATCCGCGACGGCACGAGCTCGAGCCCCACGTGCGTCCAGCAGCAGCGGTACGGTGCGGCATCCCTCCACGCCAGCAGCGACCACTCGAACAAGAGTTTCCCCGTGCCGCTCCCCACGTCAATCGCCACGAGAGAGTGATGATAGCACTGACGCGCATTCCCACCCGTCGCCGCTGCCGCAGCCGCCTCTCTCTCAATACTCTCTGTGTCTTTTTCTCCCTCCTCTAGATGTGTTGGTCTGCCTCCACTCAGTGCAACGACGCCGGCCCGTGCGACGCACTGCATCACGACGTCGTGCAGCTGTCGGGTGCCCTTTGGCGTGAGCTCCCCGTAGAGTAGCGGGTTCCCATTTGCGTCTGCTTGCGATGCCGCAACATCAATGTCAAGAGGCGTCCCTCGGGAGGATCCGGCACGCTCAAGCGCCACTTTGTCGTCATCATGCAAGGTGTATCCATCCTCCAGCTCCCCATAGACCGCGTGAAGCTGCTGCTCAACGGCATCCACAAAGCCGGCTGTCTTGGGCACCTTGAGCGGCTTTGTGAGCAGCATCGACGCCAGCAGCTGCACATCTTTTGATCCTGTTGCAGCCTCCTCTTCCTTCACCTGCTGCCGCTGGTAGGCGATGTCGCCTGCACGCGTTGTGAGGGAAGCACAGGCGTCTGCATAGAGCGACAGCTTCATCTCGAACACAACCTCACACTTTGCCTGGGTTGCGCTGAACCAGACATCCATCGCGTCCCCGCTGCCGCCGCTGGTTCGTCTGCCATCCCACCGGCAGAAGCCCGCACACACGAAGAAGAAAACGGGAGAGAGGCAAAGGAAGATAAACTCCCTAGCAAAACAAAAATAAAGACACATTGTAAGACCTCGTCTTATTCCAACAGAGGTAGCATCGACACAGATGTCGGCGCCCTAACGCAATCAAACTGGAGTCCACGACGAGAAGTCTCCACACCTTCTCTCACAGCGGGAAGCCAAAAGTCAAAGCCATAGGAGTAACAAATACAAACTAGAAAAGCAACAGTAAAATAAATAACAGAAATAGGAAAAAAGAGTGAAAACATATCTGTATTATTGCGACGCGTTTTGTGGTTCCTCTTGCCACGTGTGCGTCAAACATCTGTGTCCCTTATTTCATTTCCTCACGCTCTCTTCCTCTGTGTGTGGGCTATCAGCCCTGGCGGTAGCGACGCTGAAACGCCTGAAACCTCGCAGAGGGAGCATCACCGGAGAGATTCACCGCATACCCACGCCGTCGCCCACCACCACCACCACGAGCGCGAGCAGTAGCAGTAGCAGCAGCAGTAGCAGCAGCAGAAGCAGCAGCAGAAGCAGCAGCAGCAGCAGCAGCAGCAGCGGCGGCGGCGGCGCTTCTTCCTGCTACTGCTGCATGTGGCCTGTCTCCTCCACGTGTAGCGGCGTACCGCGGCGGCGCTGCNCGCATACCCACGCCGTCGCCCACCACCACCACCACGAGCGCGAGCAGTAGCAGTAGCAGCAGCAGTAGCAGCAGCAGAAGCAGCAGCAGCAGCAGCAGCGGCGGCGGCGGCGGCGCTTCTTCCTGCTACTGCTGCATGTGGCCTGTCTCCTCCACGTGTAGCGGCGTACCGCGGCGGCGCTGCACCCACACCGCGCCAGAGTGGGTATCCATCGGCGCAGGCCGCATCGTGTTGTGTGGAAGGCCATGTGGGTGTCACATACGCCCCGGTGCGACTGCGATGCCTGTGGCCCAGCAGCGACGTGAGCGCCACAGCGGTCTCCGTTGGCGCTGCTAAACCCCCCGCTGCTGATGGAGCCGGTGCTCGGTAGTCTGTCACGCACGGTGGGTACGGCGTCGGAGCAAAGAAGGCTGCCTCGCCGTACGACTGTGCGGAAACCGATGTATTTCTGCCATCGTAGCCAGGCACCCAGTAACCGGTCGCACCACCCGCACCCGTTCCTGTATAAACAGGAGCGGGCGCATAGGCATCCCCACCTGGTCCCACAGAGTCATTGCCGTCGTCGAGGAAAGAGGACGCAAAGCCATCGTATGGCAGCACCGTCACCGGCTCTTCCAGCCACGCAGATGGCGCCTGCGGTGCGTTAGGCGCCGGGCTGGGCGATGCAAAGGGCGTGCGGCGGTACAAAGACCCGTCCGGCATGTCGGGGTGCAGGTCGCAGCACGTCAGCCGCGAAAGAGCGCCGCCGCTCGTCTCATCTTCCTCCCTCTGGCTGAGGTGCTGCAGATAATATTGTGGCTCCTGCTGCAAGCCCTCAGTGGGCACAGACAGCTGCCAGAAAGAACCCCGTGGTGGGCTCCATGCTGTGACGTCAACGAACGGCCCAGCAGCGTTGCCTGCCCCAGAAACAAGACATGGCGGCGTACACGACGGCTCTGCTGCGGCCTCTGCAACAGGTGTTGCACCACCGCTAGGAAGGAAAACCCCTCCGCCGCCCGATTCCCTCGCAGTTGTTGCAGTCTGCTCGCCGCACTCGTAGCTGCAATTAGGATATGCACCATCCCTATATAGCAGTGCGCTGTCACCAGTAGGATACGGCCCCGTTGTCACGGCGCACGGTACCTCTACCACGTCGCTGTCCAGGAGTCCCGGCGACTCTCGCCGCTGTGGCGTTGCAGCTGCGGCGGCCTTAACAGACCACCGCAGCGCCATACAATCCACGCCGCGGCTGCCATCTTCTGTTGTCGTTGAATCAGAAGAAACAGACATTCGCTTCTTCCTGTTACTGCTGCTTCTAGGCGACGAAGGCGGTGAATCGCCGCGTCTCTCCTGTGTTGCCGATGCCGATGCCGAGGCGGCTATGCGGCTTCGGCGTCGTGTGAGCGACTCTTCCTCAATGCTGCCCTCCTGGTGGAGCGGAGGCCGCGAGCCCCGGCCATGTGATGACAGAACTTGCTGGGGGTAACTGTTGCTGTTGTGATCATTGAAGGTGCGGCTGTCATATGAAGCAGTGGGGTGCTGCCTAAATGTTGCACGTGCCTTGCTACCCCCTGTCCAGCGGAGCATCTCACAAAACCGGTGACAGCACTGTACTCGCCGTCGCCTCCTCTCTTGAAGGACTTATCTTCGGTACGCATGGAATACAGTGTGTGTGTGTGTGTGTGTGACGGGAAGAGAGAGAGAGAGAGGGGGGGAGGGGAGAGATGGGTAAAGCAGCAGAGGTATCGCGTGCAGCGCAACTCAGCTGCTGCCGCACAGTGTGTGTGAGAAGGAGAGAGAGAGAGAGAGAGTAATGGCAAAGAGTAAAGATGGGGTGCCAAACACGAGCGATAACGTCGGTGTTCGCCCCGCGCTACTCTATCATCCATTTGTCAGCGTAGAGAACCCCAACCTCGGCGCAGCGTCACACAGACCAACGGTAAGAAAGCTGGGCTCTGCCGCCAGCAGGACACCTGATGGGGCGGCGGTGCCAACAACGGAGGGTTGTGGCAGGCGACACATTTGAGCCACTTCACTGAGGATGCAGAGAGTCACTTCAACAAAACATGTNTGCCAACAACGGAGGGTTGTGGCAGGCGACACATTTGAGCCACTTCACTGAGGATGCAGAGAGTCACTTCAACAAAACATGTCACCTTCGCCAAACACGTCACGCTGGCTGAACTTACCTCGGCCCAGTGCCCGTTCGGAGGCCACCACGGCAGATCGCCCACCCCCGCCCACGCCCCGAGAGGGGAAACAATGAGGCTCCTAATCGCAGATCAGCGTCATGCGTCCTTTCCCCATTTTTTTTTCCCCAGCAACAGCCATCAAATAGCAACAAACACAACAAAAAGAAAAAAAAACAGAGGGGAGAAAGGTGAATGCTCTCACACACGCCAGACGATGGACAGGGGCAGCACAGGCACACCACCACCATCACCACCAGCGAGGGCAATGCAAGGGGCTGACGGAATAAAAAAGGGAGAAAGAGGGCACACATGTCACGCACTTCGTCTGTACATCCCACCCGCCCGAATACGCGAAGACAAAGGAAAGTAATCGCCATGCGGTGCACGCCACGCGCCCATGGATGCAAACATGTCCTCCTACAGTTTCTTTCATCCCGTCACTGTCCTTCTTCAATGTCGATGTCTGCCGCTGTTTTTTTTTTCTTTTCCTTTTGTTATTTGTTTTTTTTTTTGGTTTGTTTGTTTGTTTGCAGGGGAGAGAGAGAGAAAGAAGGGGGGGTTTCGTTTTCGTCTTTTCCTTGTATTGCCTCCTTCAGGTTCCCCCGCATTGCTGACAGCCCGCCGTCGGCCCTCGCCACCCGCCCCCGGTTGCATCCACGCGCCCCGAAGAAAAGCCGCAGCCGCGCTGAGAGGGATGCCCGGGAGACGAAGCAAGCAGGGCGCACGGTGAATGGATAAGAAAAGCGACAGAAAACCACGCAGTCACAATCTAGTCGAAGCCAATGAAAGGAAAAACACTAAAAGCAAGGGAAAAAAAAAAA